TTACGGTCCTTGCATCATCGCCAGCTGTTGCGAGACATGCAAACCGAAAGGGGGGGGAAACAAAAAGGAATGGTGACATGTTACACAATCGTGGGCATAAACATAACCAGGGCTTTATAGCCCTCGCTCCACTACAGGACATTCTATATGTGTCTTGGAGTGCATCTTGAACCTGATACTTACAGACTGATCCAACATATAGAATGTATCGGGACCACTGGGACCAGTACCAGAGCTCCAGATGCATGATGAATGTGTTGTGCAGTGGAGTGAGGCCCTATACCGAGAGTTCGATACATGATCATCCCGTCTTACCCCTAATTCCGCAGCCAGCAGGGCAGCAAACGCCAGCTGACATCTTGACACCTCAGCGTTAGCGATGCTTCCAACTCCATAGACAACAATCTCGGGCTGGTTATCGCTAATTCCCATGTTCAGAGAGCAATCTTCAGCCTTCAAACAGGGTACATCCCCATCAAGATAAGGTATCAGCTCGATCCCAGCGTGATCAGAGGGCAAGGATGCCGCACCATCTTCAGCAACACTGAAACTGCCCTTTGATGTGACGCCCTCCCTCTCGTGAAAGTCTACAGGCTCTAGTACTTGCYCCTTTGAAGTGCTCTCATAATTGGAAAGGYTAYTCGGAGCTGATGCAACTCRCACTATCATCTCCCCCCCACATGGATTGTCATTCCTTGCCCCACTGCATTCGCCGCCGCAGTGCAGAACCATCCGATCTCTTGCCATCTGTACACAGGCTCTTTCACTGCTTCCACGACTGCATTTGCCTGCACCGGCATGCTTCACCAAAGGACCTCCMAGCAGGTCTACTGCATTGGTGCTCCCACACAATTCCGCATCAACCTGCAGATGAATCTCCCCATCATCTGCCTCTGCCCCTCGTTTACAATCCTCGCGAACTAGTGACTTGGTGCGCAGAGTTTCCGTGCTCTGGCAATCATGCTCATCATGTTGAGGACAAGATCTCACCTGCAGAGAGGTTTCTGCTTGAGATGCAGTCGAAGTCAAAGGCAAAAGTGATGACAGAGTTGCTGCCGGCTTCTCCAGCACCCCTTGCTGGGAGACAACCTGCCCTCCTTGATTAGCCACAGATCCAAACAACTTCAGCTGCTGTAGTTCCTCTGCCACAGGGATTCATAAACACAAGAATGCCAATCAGGTGGCATTGAATAACAAGCAATTTTCAGAATCTCGTGCCTTGTGAGAAAGAAAGAGAGAGAGGGGGGAAAATGGAGGGACATAGGGAGGGGCACTGGGTGGGAGGAGCTCAGGGAGCAAGGGACAGAGGAATGGATGGTCAGGTGGACTGCAACACAAATGGACGGGCTGACAGATGGACAAATCAATGAAGAAATTGATGGACWGRATARAGGGATGCAGGGTTAGAGGGGCAGAGGCGCGCGAGGAGGGGCAGAGGGGCAGAGGGGCAGAGGGGCAGAGGGAGGATCGGAGGGAAGACGAGGAGGGCAAGGACGGAAGGATGGAGAGGATCAAGGGAGGGAGGGGGGAAGGGAAGCATGGAGGGACCAGCACTAGAAGATGGAATGAGAGCGGGAAGGCAGGAAGCGGGTACGATGAAAGGGGGAAGGAAGGAGGGAAAGGACAGAGAGAGCTGCTCTCGGGGCAGAGTGGAAGAGGGGCATAGGGGCAGAGGGAGGATCGGAGGGAAGGCGAGGAGGGCAAAGACGGAAGGATGGAGAGGATCGAGGGAGGGAGGGGGGAAGGGAGGTATGGAGGGACCAGCACTAGAAGATGGAATGAGAACGGGAAGAAAGAGAACACGGCATCCTGCTGCTTGAAGTACTGATCCCCCCAACTTGTGTAGGTGTGACTGGACCGCCTTCACGGGTATCCTTTGTGGCTGCAGGTCGTACACAGACCTTTATTCACATTGTCTATGAAAGTTTCCTTCCAGATACCATTCCTGTCCCATGGCCGCATAAGTTCCCCTTGCCCGTCTGAGAAATCATGACCGTTTTCAAACCCACTCTAGTACCGCATTTGCTTCTACTTTTGCTTCTGCTTCATTTTTTCGCCAAAATGCAAAAGGTGATACAATCATGCACAAGATCACCCATCGTTCCCCCTGAATAACTGCTGCGAAAGTTAAATGAGTCCGTCGTATACTTTCATCTTCCCTTGTGACCGTCAGATGTCGTTCTAGCAGCCTACTGCAGAAATCTTCCCAAGAGACTTTGTGGACATCGTCTTCCAACTCACGATGATAACAAGATATCTGGTGTTTCACCTCTTGCAACAAGACGTCAACATCCTCCTCCGRCAGTCCCAAAAAGGTTTCAAGGGTCTATCTTTGGCACACTCCTGAATAGGCYTGCTGATATCCTCCTGCAAGTGGGGAGGACGGCCCCATTGGAGTTGGTAAGACAAGCCCGCAAGTGCATTCTYCGAGACAGAGTCTTGCATGGTCTTCACTAAATCTGTCAGTGCTTCATGCTATTGTGTACATGCTTGGACATGGAGTCACTTGGKAGGACAGGGACCGCCGACAGCCTTTTCCCAACACATGTTTTCTTGTCCTCTCCAACCTTTTTGGACTCAATKTTTCATCCACGACACCTTAAATCCTCAACCGCCTTAATTTGCACGCCCATGTCAGTTTGCCACGCCACCAAGTCCTCCTGCTTCTGCAGGTCAGTGCCTGTGTCAGAGCTGTCATCATCTTATTATCTAATCACAGCGCCCTTCCCTTCCTTGAAGGCGGCGGTAGCTCCTGCTCCGTGTACGGTCTTATCCCTMGCTTGTAACCATGTCACCTGATCGATCACACGCTTCGGGGCATCTCGCCTGGTATCACTCCTTTTMAAAAAAAYATTCAACAGGATGCGCCATTCTTGATGACATGGCGATCTTGCTACTATCCAAGTCCCAACAAGTGACCAGAGTCAAAATCGTTACCAGCTCCTATACCGCTGTTATGAATTCCAAGCATCTCAAGTCTTTCAGCCATCATCTTGATAGAGATGACGCCACCACACGTTATTGCAACTCCACAAAAAAACCGGAATTGAAGGATCACACCCACAATTGTTGATAAACCCCAAAATCGGGATTAAACAAGGGACACATTACACGATCGAGAATCGAGATAAAATTCAAAAGCTTGTTTTCTTTTAGCTTCACGTTTCCTAGCGGACAATTTGTCAATTACCTTACCTCTGAATTTTTGGAAGAAGTCTGATCTAGCAACCATGTCCCTGCACACACAACAAGTGCACAATCAAAAAAAGTGGGCAAGTTAGCTTTTAACCCCCCAGTGCCTTTCCCAGGCGAAAAAAAAAAAAAAAAGGCTGCCGGTTAACACGGAGGACGGCCCCGGGCAGGGGCGCCGGCCAGGTACATCCCAAATGCTCGGCACGCAGGGGCCCGCGGCTGACATATGGGAAAGGTGCTGGCGGTTCATGTACAACAAACCATATCCAATCAAATTGAAAAACCGCTTCATTCAAGAACGGTTGAAGAACATTAAAAGATAATAATAAAGCGCATGCCAACAAACCGCACAACCTAGGGCATACTCACACTAGTACTTCATCAGCTGAACAAGTCAATGCACAGTCAATGCACAAGTGGTTATGACTTAAAATGTAAATAAGACAAACAAAACATGTCACTCGCTGGCCGAGCATGGCTCAAGTRGTGGTCCCCACATGTTATCCCACATGGATGACATGTGGATAAATTGCAGATAGGGCATTAACATAGAAAAYGTCAACATTTCAAAATCGTACGTATCTGCCATGTGCACGGTAGTTAGAAAAGTAAACTCACGAGGGATCGATCACATGACCCCAGTAGCAGATTCATTCATATATAACAATATAATAATATAATTGAAATATGTAAATAATAAAATGTATAGCCACATATCGTCAAACAGAGCTGCYTGGTAAACCGTAGGYAGAGAGGGAGAARAGGACAACAAACAAGGGCCTGCGACAAACTGTTTCGTCTGAGTTTCACTGACTCGTCAGGAGGCTGATATAAAACTTCTAGTATACATATTACATAGTATACATGCTCTCTACTAMAGTGATATAAAAAAACTTCTAGTATACATACCACGTMGTATACATGCTCYYTACTACAGTGATATAAAACTTCTAGTATACATAGTATACATGCTCTCTACGACAGAGTTTGAGTCAAACAATTACTGCCACGTGTCATACTGTTCGGCGTTTTCAGACAGTGATATTCGTAGGGCCAAATAAGTAGGTTTCAATCTCGTTCAAAAAATATAAAATGGCTGGTTTACAGTTTTAACAAAATGGGGTTGTTGGTAGTACACGTACACACTCTATTCCTGAAAAGGCAGCAACTGTCGACATAAGATGACGAAAGCAACAAGCTTTGTTTGTYAAATAAAAAAAAMCTCAACAACTATTCTTCTCAATTGCATCCTTCTGGAAAACGAGGATGCTGACATTTGTCATACCTCGCCTTCGATAATAGCATGACGAGTCGTGCTTCTTCCTCATCTTCGCTCAKCAATCGCACACCTCCATTTCTTCGTCTTGATCGCCCCTTTCCTCGACATTCTTCACAAGCCAAATGCCACGAAGAGGTTCAATAACCCTTCCCTTCATTTCTTAAACCACGACTATGTCTCGCAGCTTGTTTATTTTGCCTGAGTGCTATGTTAGGCATGCCTTAAGGGGCTTGGCTGACCGAAGGTGGTGCCAGCCAAAACTAAAAGAATTGGGCCAGGCCTATTTTTTTTTTTTCTGGCGCGCAGCACAATCTGCCTCAGCACGAAAAAGCCCAGACATAGTGGCAGTTCAACGAGGCAATTCAGAATCCTCAAAGCAAGTATCATCCTAGCAAAACTCTGTGTGTGTGTGTGTGTGTGTGTGTGTGTGTGTGTGTGTGTGTTACATGCTGAGCCTGTCACATGGGTCCCGTTTTCGGGGCCCGACGGTTGTTGGGGGCCCCCAGGCCGTGCGCGCATTTTTCGCACACAACCTGGAGGCCCACGGCCATCCTGGTAGGCCAGGCACATTGTTGTGCGACTTTGTGCCATCTAGGTTCTTCTTTTAGCCAGCATTTATTTATTCTTTGCTGACCCTTTGTCTGTTCTATATTTGTCTGTTGCAGGGTGTCGTTTCGGACTTTGCAGTATGGGCTGAGTTGAGTCAGTGTCCAGCAGACCAGGACATATCTTTGAGTATTCCACTGCGCTACATTATCCTACGTTTGTATGTATATAGATGTACATTGCTTGTTGATGCTTCGCTGATGCTGAATTGTCCATGAGAGTCTTTATCATCACTTTGCTGATCCTTTGGCTCCATTGCACCACTGCAATTATTCCGAGTATGCATCTCTCTCTCTCTCTCTCTCTCTCTCTCTCTCTCTCTCTCTCTCTC